TTTACATTTATTATAATATTTTCTTACATGATAAAGCTTACATGTACTTTCTAAATAACAGATAGTTGGAGGAAAAAGTAAAACACATTTATATTTATTAGGAACATGCTTATAACATCTGGGTAGCTTTAACTATTCCGGTAGTTCAAGATGTCCTCTGAACCCTAAACCACCTAAACCCTGTTCTATATTTATACATTTTTGTTCTCTTAAATATATATTTAATTTTTATACATTATCATATAACAGTATATATTATATTGTTTTTTCTGTTCTATTAGTATAATATTCTATATTCTCCAATGTTTAAATCATTTCTATATTTCTCAGAATTATTAATGTTTGAATTATTAATTTTATTTTGCACATTTTTTCTATCTATTATTTTCCCTCGTATTATACTACTTATACTTATTCCAAAAGGTGTGTACTGAAGAAAAAAAATGAAATATTTTAATGTCTTAAAAAATAAAATATGTTATTTTAATATTTCTTATATCTCCGACAACATATTTATAATCATGTTATGAATATTTTTCATTACCTTGAAACTATACAAACATATAAATAAAACGCCCAATATTGATAAAGCTGTTAATATCACAAATTTTATCCTTCCAAATGCTATTTTTGATAAAGCAGAAAAATTTTCTGATATCTCTAATGCATTTGATAATTTTTTCAAAAGTTCCTTATCGCAATTATTTGAAATAGGATTAGAAATATTATACTTCAGCTTATCTGTAAATATTCCTAGAGCATCACAAAAATTGTTATCATTGCCAGGACACTTATCCTTAAGTTCATTATATGTACTGATACAACCGTTTATACAATTTGAACATGGACTTCCATCATCACTTGAATCAGAAAATAAATAAGAATAAAGTTCACTATTATAAATATATAATTGATATAACGTATTCATATTTTTAAGAACATCATTTTCCATACCTATTATTTTACATTTTGATAAAAAATCTGCTCTATATGTACTAAAATGTTTCTTAAATTCTTCATAAAAATATTTGACATTAGAAGAGCTAATTTGGTTTTTGCTTTGTAACATATCATTTAACCAGTAATTTAAAAATCTACAATCGATTTCATGATCATTTTCACTTAAATTAATCAACTTAACATATGGAATATTTTCAATGAGCGCAATAAATTTCTTACATATGTCTATACATGAACTGTTAATCAAAGAAACCTTGCCTGAATGGGAATTACAATAACTAGAAATTTTATCTACAGAAGGAATATGAACTCCATGAGCCACACCAACACTAGCAGGCACTACAACTCCAGGAGCCACCCCAACTCCAGGAGCCATCCCAACTCCAGGAACAATCCCAAATTGTGAAGAATCTCTAAATATTATATTAACCGAAGCATTAAGTCCATTAACTACTTCTATATACTTATCAATTTTACTAAAAAGTTCATACTAAAAA